TCAGGCAGTGCTCGAGTGGAACCCGAAAGGGAAGCGACGAGTGGGATGTCGGTGCAAGGGTGACATGGAGGAGATCGTGCGAAGAAGAGTTGAAACAGTATGGACTAACATGGATGCAAGTGAAAAGTACAGCAGAAGACAGAAGCAAGTGGAGACGTGCAGTTGAAGCCCTATGTTCCACTAGGAACCCAAGGGAACAATAATAATAATAATAATAATAATCATGGACTGAGAAAAGAGGAATAAGAAATATTATCTTTTTTCCTTATTTCAGCATACAGTCTGAAAAATTCACACAAAGAAAGTCATTTCTGTAATAAGTTGAATTATGTGTGCCAATTAGACACAAAATACCTACTAATAGAGAGGTCATTACAACAACTACTTTATAATAATGAACACAAAATGCTCAAGCTGGATGGAGCTCATAGATTTATGCCTTACAGCATATTTTCAATTCATCGACCAAGTCATATAGACAGATAAAAGGAACAGTGATATGGCATCGTTTATTTTATATGAAGACTAATTGCTGAGGCCATTATGAAACAAAAAACAACTGGAAAGGATACCTCCACCGGTAATCAAACCAAAAATCTGGATGACTGACTGGTTTCAGCATAGAACATTGCACTAATGTACAGAAGTTCTAGTCGGTACACTCCTTTTTTGTAGCAAGAGAAGAGAGTAAAGGGAGTTAATAAACAGAGACAGGAAACAGAGGTATGACATAAAAAGAGTAGTAATATCCAAGAACCATTTAGTTTTATTGGATATTATAAGTCACAAGGAGTGGATGCATCTGCACCAGCCATTGAGAACGAGGATTTTGAGCCATATCATATCAATTATCTCCAGCCTTCATTGGTTTTTACCATCCTCGACGGGCAATGTTAGCTGACATAGGGGTTAGGCTGGAAAACAGCTAGCGGCGGTCAAACTAAAACATGGCACCAGTCAATGAAATCCACAACAGTTAGTTTAAGCCAAGTAGGAAGGTGTGGACTTCCTGGTTGGGGTCCTAGGGACGGTAAAAACCAGTGGTTGGAAACAATTGGTGATATGGCTCAAAGTCTTCGTTGTCAATGATGGTTGGCGCAGATGCATCCACTCCTTGTGAGTTATGATTCCCAATGAAACTATATTGCTCTTCGTTACTACTATTCCTTTGTCTCACACCTCTGTTTACTGTCTCTATTATGCATTTCTCCTACTTTCTTCTCTTGCTTTGTGTGCCACATGGAGTGTGGCGAATTGAACAACCGCACATTTGTTCAAAGTTCTATGTCGAAAACTGACTGACTGACCCAGTTGGTTTTCCAATGGTTCTCTAACTGACGTCATTTCATGATGAAATCCTGAAACCAATCAAACCCCTACAAACTACTAACACTGGAATACACGAGGAAGACCTAAAGAAGCCACCTCACCTTGGCAGAATTCTTTCAACAACAGGCAGTCGCAGTGTAGATAAGAATATCAAAGCCAACAAGGATAAAGAAAACACAAGACAAATCTTCATTCACCTGAAATCAGTGTGGAAGTCTACTGCCCTTAACAAGATACTCCCCTTGAATACACTGATTCAGAGATTTGGTGTTTGCGTCACAATAAGCCTTTCTAATAGACTACTGTAAACTGTAAACTTCTCTGACTCGATACGGGAGATAGGAATAACATAGAGAAACCTCCATGTTTTTGATTTGGTTGTGTCCTATGAGCTGGGTAGCTTCCATTGTCCCCTTTTTAGACCATATATGCAGCGCCAGCTTTCACTACGAAGTGAACCTACTTGAATTCTTCATGAATGAACGATGGAATTGTATCTCCTGACAAATTTCTATCTTGATCAGTTGTTAATTTCTCTCCGTATTGATCGTTTTTATTGACTTGGAATTTTTGACATTTTATGTCATGTGAAGAAATATTCTTTACTAGTTGACAGATTTGATCTATGACAATAATATAATGTATGTGTGTGTCTGTTGATCGCTGACTCATCTGAATACTAAGATTCTAGGAATTCTCTGGTATTTCCTTCAGTGCTTTCATTGTCTAAAATTTCTACACAACCCCCCTCCCCAATTAAACTGGTGTTCCGTACATCGTTATGAAAGAGAATGCTCGGGCTGCTTTCGCTAACTTACACCGTCTCTGGCGTAGGCGTGACATCCGGCTATCAACCAAGGGACGTGTGTACTGCTCACCAGTTCGCTCCGTCCTCTATGGCGGTGAGACGTGGCCATTGAGAGCAGAAGACATGAAGAGATTGTCTGTTTTTGACCACAGATGTTTACGATCTCTTTCTCGCGTTAGGTGGTATAATAAAGTAAGTAATGTTGACGTTAGGCGCAGAGTGTTGGGCAAAGAGGGAAAATCAATCGAAGAGGCTATGAAGTTACATAGATTGAGATGGTTAGGTCACGTGCTGCGCATGCATACCATCGCCTCCCCCGACGGACGGGCATTACTAGCTGATATAGGTGTAGGTTGGAAAAGAGTAAGTGGTGGCGAAACAAAAACATGGCCTCATCAATCCATGAAATCCTTGACAGTTAAACTGAGTCAGGTAGGGAGGGAGATGCAGACTTCCGGGTTGGGGCCCGTTCTCGGGACTCTAAGAATCAATGGCTGGAGACAACAGGTGACATGGCTCAAAATCGTTGTCAATGGCTTACGTAGATGTATTCAGTCTCTGTAATCTTTCATATTCCTTTCTACCATTACTCATTCTGTTTCACTCCTATACTTGTCAAAACTCTATTGATTCTCTTCTCTCATTTTCTTGTCTACCTTTGTGTGCTATTTGGAACGTGGCAACTCGAACTGCTGCACTTCGGTGCCAAGTTCTATGTTGAATCCAGCCAGCCAGCCAGCCAGCATGTTATGTCAACTAGTTTATGTTAGCGGATTCAGAGTCAAAAGCGATAGTATTGATCTCTTCCTCTTTTGCTGTTGAGTGAATTCGTTTGGTTTGCATACTACTGAAAGAAGTGATTGTGTGACTGGTTTATTTGCGATATTTATTCCGAATAGTATTAGTATTCTAGGTGTTATTTCAGAAACATTCTTATTTTATAAGATAAGATGAATTTTTTGTGTGGTTTTTCTGAAAATATTTTTTCTTGTAGGTTAGTTTGAGTTTAATATATCTTTCTGTTATATCGTTTAGCCAAACAAGCAAACGTACAAATACAAACTAAAGTGGAACACTGAACAAATGAAGTTGTTATGCATTGAAGCTGCATTCACAGAAATTTCGGAATATATGATTCTGGCGTACTGATAAAAATGAATGCTGTCTACGTTCAAAATTTTGGAGACTAGGGGGTGGACTAAGTGGTGCTCAGGAGAAACAAATCCCAGGAAAACTAGGCAGACTTTAGGCCAGTAACAGGATGGTATTGATCATATCTTTACCCTTCACAACAGGTTCTGGAAGAAAAGCATACTTACCGGAGTCTACCACTACTTCACCTGAAGGCGGCATTCCACTCCACCATAAAGAGAATGCCGAGAAAGCATATCGCATTAACGAAGACACTCAATCTACTCGAACTGATGCAACCATGTAAGAGCTAACGGAGAGTTGTCATCTAGAGTAATGATAACCAGTAATGTCCGTTCACTGTCCCCATTTCTGTTTAATTGCATCATAGATATGCTAATGGAGTTAACCGCAAGTGAACAATCTCGTCGACTTACAATAAGCGGATAAGTGTCCTCTCCAGCAAACAGAAATCTTAGCATTTTTTGCATGCGGCTCACTCTTTTGAAATGATGAACAGTTACTCGGAGTGAGTAACAAATGCCTCGAATGTTTAGTATCTCACTTCACCGATCGAAATGCCTCACTTTTCAGACTCTGCATCCAGTATGCTTACTTGTCATGTGAGTAGTGAAACGAAGACCCCCATAATTAAGGTCAAAAATCCGTAGTCTTTTCAAATGTTTAGTTTGTTTATTTTTACCAGCCATGTCTCATCATAGTCTTTAATTAGGACAGGATCGACAGCTGCTACCTTGACGTAGTGGTCGCTGGGCTTGCATATCGCAATGACACAACAAGCTACACCAGCTGGAACTATTGTTTCTACAGGTGCTACCATACCAGGAAGATTGTTAGGATAGCGATCAAACTAAAAGCAGTTACCGGTACAGTGTACTATGTCTTTTCATACTATACTAGGGGTGCGTCGGCAAAGTCATACTGCTGGGGAACAGGGATGTAACAGCCGCAGTAAGGTGTTTCCCTCAAATGACCAGCATGCCAGCCAGTTACACTGTCTCTCCACTCTGGAGAGAGGGGGTTAGAAAAGGTCGACCCCAAAAATTGTACATCCCGACTTACCCCCCTACGGTGGTTCGTAGCCGGCGGTAAGTTACTAATACGGGACCAAAACAAAAAGCCAGTTCATACAGGCCGTGTGTGACCCGCCTCAAGCAGTTGTCCCCTGAGTTCTGCGGTCACACAACACTGATTCTATTTCTATTTCAGGTACCCCAACAATAAATCAATAATTAGTCAGTCAGATAGACACAAACGTCAGAATCAAAAATAACAATGCAACAGCCTCATATATTTAAGTCACGTAGGAAGATGTAGACTTCCTGGTTGGGGTCATCGAGACGGTAAAAAACAATGAAGACTGGAGACAATCGGTGATGTAGCTCAAAATCGTTCTCAAGGGCTGGCACAGATGCATCCACCCCTTGTGACTTATAATTTCCAATGAAACTATATTGTTCTTCCTTATTACTATTCTTTTTGCCTCATATCTATGTTTACTGTCTCTATTTTGCGTTTCATTTTACTTTTTTCTCTGGCTTTGTGTGCTACATGGAGTGTGGCGACTGGAACTGCTGCAACATCGGTGCAAAGTTCTATGCCGAAACCAGTCAGTCAGTATATATTTCTGTGCATCCCGTAACGTAGCGTAAGTAATTAAAAACAAATTTTTATATCAAATTAACTTAAATACAGTTCACAAATAACTCACCGATCATCTGAGGAGACAGTTAACTTGAAATCATCAAATAGTAATTCAGTTTCATACAGAACTGTGAGATGCTTTCTCAAATGAATTTGAACAGGATAAATTTCAACTGGTTGACTTGGCATTCTTGAATCCCAAGCTTAAAGTAAGTCAGAAAGAAAGAAAGAATAGTGAATACACATAGATGTTTGACTGACTGACTGACTGATTCAGTGTAAATGTACCTCATTTCTGGCGTTGACATGATATCCTGATATCAATCAAAGTGTAACGACAGAACACAAGGGCCAGGCAACAGATCGTTTATTGAGAAAATCAAGAGGTATTTATAGATTTTCATGTACATTATTGTCAGCGGAGAAGCAACCTTTACTGATTGGTTTTTTGCTTGCTGAAGGTCATTCTGTACCGCTTGTGACCGTTTCTCAGAAAGTTAAGCCACATATCTGCGAATCGTATTTGCACGCGTTAAGCCTACTGTGATCGGTTGGTGAGTTCCTCAAGGTTAAGCTTTGTTATTGTTTTTCTCATGAACCCGATTCGGGACGAAACATTTACGTCAATTGCTGTCTACAAAAAGACCTGTGTACTGAGAAACAGTTCACTGCGTTCCTCTTTATGACTGTGAAACATGCCCGTTTAAAATGGGAGACATGAAGTGACTAGCTGTTCTTGACCAATGACACCTGCATTTTATCTCCCGTATTAAGCGGTAGAGTATAATGAGTAATAATGAAGTTAAGCGCAGAGCGCCAGATGCAAAGGCTAAGCTGATGAGTTTGTAAAGCCGCATAGACTGAGATGGCTAGGACACATGCTACGCATGCTGAGCCACCAGCTTCCTCGACGACCAATGGTTGCAGAAATAGGATTGGGTTGAAATAGGGTTGGTTAAACCAAAACATGACATCAATTGGTTTGAGGCATAGACTATCTGCCTGCCTGCCCCAATAAACGATCTATTGCGGCAGACGGGTGGATGGACTTCGGTATTCCTCTCCAAATTCTCTCATGTAGCCATGCATTCACAGACAACACCCTCTGCGAGCCAAGTCCCACTTATTACCTTCAAGCAGCGGCAAAGGTGTTCCTCATAAAAGTGAAATGGTGAATGCAAGCGCCTGGCGCTTACAACCTGACTGACTGGTGGATATAGTGGTTTATCCTGATTCCAAACCTACGGTGTACATGGACCCCATAATCCGAAAGGAATGAATGGAATCATGGGAATGCAGCTACTGACGGTGTTCCAGTCAAAAGCTTGGCCATTTAACACAATCAAATGCTTCGATCTATATGGGAAGACTGACTACTTTACAGAGAAGTGCATCAGTTTGAGTGATGCATCCTCTCAGTGTCCATAATGTACCAAGTCTGAGTTTTAATAAATAAATAAATAAAACTGGATGCTGGGATCGTTGAGATGCCAACAACCAATGATTGGACACTACTGGTAATATGACTCAAGGATAGTGTTCTCGATGGCCCAAATGCATTCACTGCTTGTAATATTCCAGATGCACTGAATCTTCCCACCTTTTCAATATTAATATTACGCACATTATAGTGCTTTCGAGTCTCTTTTCTCTACCTTTGCGTGCTATACATGGTGTGTGACAACTTGAACTGTGGCTCTTCTGTACATATTTCGACGATGAAACTCACTCAGTCAGTCGAAAGCGAAGATAATACGAGAACATACATCATATTATTATTATTCCCTTGCGTTCCGAGTGCAACATAGGGCTTCAACAACATATTTACACTTTGTACTGTTTTCTGCCATCCTCTTCAGCTGGGTTCACGGTTGACTAAACTCTCTCATCTCTTCCTCACACGATCTCCTCCATGTCACCATCGGAATGATGATTCAATCGTCGCTTCCCATTTGGATTCCACTCAAGGGTCTGACGTGCGATGTCATTCGATGGCCTCCTCAATGTATGCCCAATTCATCTCCACTTTCTCCGACATATTTGTTGAGCGATCGGTTCTTGCTTGTTGGTTTCTTCCCGTAGTTTCTTGTTACCAATTCACTCTGGCTGGCTATTAGATCTTCAGTATGGAGTCAGAGAAGGTGGCAGCTGTTAATAAAAGTTCACAGAAGCCTGTTCGTGACACACAGTGCAAGTTTCTGACCCATATAGAAGAACCGACTTCACATTGGTGTTGAAAATGCGAATCTCGTTCATTATGTTGAGAGCGGAAGATTTCCAAACTGGTTTCAGGTTGATGAAGGTGTACCTTGCCTTTCCGATTCTAGTTGGCTCTGACATTTTCGTCCGTTCCGAGTACCTGTAGTTGAAACGATGCTTCCCAGATAAGTGAAGGAGGTAACCTCTGTTAAATTTCTCTCCCGTTGATGGTGATTGGTGCTGGTTTTTGTAGCGGTTGATTAGTTACCTTCATCACTTCCGTCTTCTCTATGTTCACCCGCAGTCCTGTTTTCGCTGCCAGCCTCTTCAGCCAGTTTGTTGGTTTTCGTCTGCCCACAAGTCTTCAAGTTTGTGTGACATGAGACATATATCATCTGCGAAATCCGGATCTTCTGGAGTCTTCTTATCCGTCGTCCAGCGTATTATTGACTCTTCGCCCCCAACAGTTTGACGCATAATCCAATACATCACAATTAAGAATATCATCGGTGATAATAGGCAGCCAGCCAGCTTGTCTTACTCCTGTATGCACTTCGAACGCCTCGATGCGTTTTCCTTTGCCGTTGAGATTACTTGACACGTGGCATTGTCATTTAGCTGCTGAATGAGGCTGACAAAGACTTGAGGTACGCCGTAGTGTTGAAGTAGTTTCCAAATTACTTCTCGGTCAATGCTGTCTGTTGAAGGCCTTTTCGAAGTCGATGAAGTTAAGGTAGAGAGAGAGAGGTGTGACTGCCATTCTATGCTTTGTTCCGTGATGATGATGATGCGTAGACTTGCAATTTGATCAGCACATGATTTGCCTTTCCTGAATCCAGCCAGCTTGTTCCGGTGGGGCTGGTGGAGTTTTGTATCCAGTGCACCTTTTATTCTCTCCAGGATGATGCGACTTAGTATTTTACTTGGAGTAAGTGGATAAGAGCATTATTCCACGCCGGTTCTTGCAGAGGCAGGCTTAAGTCGCCCTTCTTTGGCAGAAGACACACATTAGAGAAACGATATTGTAAAGTAAACTCAGATGTAATGAAATAAAAAATAGCAAGTGAAAAGCAACAAATTGGCAGAAGAAGCAGCAAAGATAGGACTTCAAGTGAACATAGACAAAACAGAGGTAATGAAGATTCCTGGCCAACATCAACAGCAACAACCGACAACAATCAGCATAAACGGGAGGAACCTGAAGGAAACAACTTCTTTCACCTACCTGGGAAGCATCGTCTCAACTACAGGAGGAACTGACGAGGATATCAAAGCCAGAATCGGAAAAGCAAGACAAGTTTTCATTTCTCTCAAGTCTATGTGGAGGTCAAAAGCATTCAGCGTCAAAAATAAGATCCGTATTTTCAACTCCAATGTGAAGTCAGTACTACTATACGGATCAGAGACTTGGCGTGTCACAAAGAGCAGCTCAAACAAGCTACAGACCTTCATTAACAAATGCCTTCGCTCAATACTCAAGATCAAATGGCCGGAGAGGATCAGCAACAAAGATATCTGGGAGCGAACCAACCAGGAACCGATCGTGAAACAAATAGGCAGGAAGAAATGGAGATGGATTGGACACACTCTGAGGAAACCATCAAGTGACATCACTAGACAAGCCATTGCTCGAGTGGAACCCGAAAGGGAAGCGGCGAGTTGGTCGTCCAAGGGTGACTTGGAGGAGGTCATGTGAAGAGGAATTGAAAGCGTGTGGGCAGACTTGGAGCCAGGTGAAAACTACAGCAGAGAACCGAACGCAATGGAGACGCATGGCTGAAGCCCTATGTTCCTCTAGGAATTAAAGGAAATAATAATAATAATAAAAAACAAATAGGTAGATAAAAAGCAACTTACTTTTCACATTCATATAGTCACGTGAAAAAACCAGGTGATCAGAGAATTTGCCAAATTTTAAATCTGATATAGAATTTGTTAGAATAGTAAGCACATTTGATTCATCTGCAGCAAGACTGTGAAAAGCTATCGGAAAAACAACAAAAACGAGGATTACAATTATGACATAGACGTCTTTTAAAACAGTTAAAGCGTATATAGATAGATAGAAGAGATAATAACGTTTGGATAAATGAAATAGCATAGCTGATATTCTGTTACAGAGTAAACTGATTTGATAAGCAGTACACATTGTTACAGTGTTGCTTATTGAGCGTAGAGACGTGATATCCCGCTGGCTGTCATCCCGATATACAAGAAGGGAAGACAAGTCTTCTTGTGATAATCACAGAGGGATTAGCTTGACTAATATAGTATCTAAAATCCTAAGCTCAATAATACTGCGTAGACTAAGTGGTGCTCGGGAGGCACAAACACGAGAAAACCAGGCAGGCTTTAGGCCAGGAAGAGGGTGTATTGATCATATCTTCACCCTTCGACAGATTCTAGAACATAGGCATTCCTACCGGCGTCCAACAATCATTATATTTCTTGACCTAAAGGCGGCATTCGATTCTGTCGACCGGGAGGTTCTCTGGCGATGCTTGGCTGTAAAGGGAATGCCGAGAAAATACATTGCACTGATTAAGTCACTCTACTCGTACTCATGCAGCCAGGTGAGGGCTTATGGCAAGTTGTCATCCGAAGTGGTGACGACTAGTGGCGTCCGTCAAGGATGCCCATTATCCCCATTCCTATTCAACTTCATCATAGATGTACTAATGGACTTAACCCTAACTCACTTCAGCGACTCAGGGATTGACTTGCTACCAGGGAATAATCTCGTTGACTTAGAATATGCGGACGATATAGTCCTTCTAGGCGAGGACTCTGACAAAATGCAGAGTCTACTGAACACCTTGAGCTGCAATCTAAGAATGTTTGGCATGCGATTCGCCCCTGTAAAATGTAAGATGATGCTGCAGGATTGGACTTCACCGACCCCTAGATTAGAAATAGGAAGTGAAGTGGTAGAGCACGTTGACCGCTTCAATTACTTGGGAAGTACCACCAGCCCCAATGGGTTGATCTCAGATGGAATCTCAGCACGAATACAGAGGGCTAGTTTCGTATATGCCAGTTTACGCTATCTCTGGGTTAGTAGACGTGATATCCGACTATCGACCAAAGGGCGTGTGTACTGCTCAACAGTCCGCTCCGTCCACCTTTATGGCTGTGAGTGAGACCTGGCCATTGACAGCAGAAGACATGAAAAGATTAGCTGTCTTCGATCATAGGTGTCTGCGTTCCATCTCCCGCGTGAAGTGGTATAATAAGGTGAGCAATATTGAGGTTAGGTGTCGAGTGCTAGGTAAGGCGGGGAAATCAACCGATGAGACTGTGAAATTACATCGACTGAGGTGGTTAGGACATGTGTTACGTATGCCTAGTCATCGCCTTCCTCGACGGGCAATGTTGGCTGATATATGGTCAGGTTGGAAAAGAGCTAGCGGCGGTTAAATGAAAACATAGCTTCATCAGTCGATGAAATCCACAACAGTTAGTTTAAGCCAGCCAGCCACGTAGAAAGGTGTAGACATCCTAGTTTGGGTCATCGGGACGGTAAAAACCAATGAAGGCTGGAGACAATTGGTGATATGGCTCAAAATCATTCTCAGTGGCGCAGATGCATCCACTCCTTGTGACTTATAATATCCAGTAAAACTATATTGTTCTTCGATATTCCTATTCTTTTTGCTTCATATCTCTGTTTGCCGTCTCTATTATGCATTTCTTTTTACTTTCTTCTCTTGCTTTGTGTGCTACATGGAGTGTGGCGACTCGAACTGCTGCACATCGGTGCAAAGTTCTATGTTGAAACCAGTCAGTCATTCAGAAAACATTGGAAAATCGTAGTTCAGAGACAAGTTGACAAATCAGAATCGAGGTTTAAATGATATCCAGTGTATGGCTATTTAGCTAAACTAATTTGCGAACATGCACAATCACCGCCACACTCCATATAAGTGAAGCTTAAGTTTTAAAGTATCACTTCCGATGTCAAACAAATGCTAAATTTTAATTAAATATCCTCTCCACACTCTTGCAGAGACGTAGTTGTTTGGTTTGAGTACTCAACATCCAGACAATGGGTCCTCAGGTTCAAACCACACTTCGTTTATTTTAGTCTGAACAGCTGAGAGCAATAACAACCAGCTCCTCACAAAACAAGTGTA